CGGTGTTGCAGAAGAGGAGAAACCTACACTCACACCCACACCCTCAATCATACTTTTTTATATGTAATCAAATTATTTAATCATTCTCATTTCTTAATAAATAATTGTTCGCCAAATAATATATGAGTTGCAGCAATATCTCGAAGTCATATTTTATGGCGGTTGTTGAAAAAAAGCCATAATTGATAAAAGACAAATCTTTATTTGAACAACTGAATGGATATAAATACAGATGTAAAGAATATTAATCATTCCTTGTTACTAACCACATATATTCTGATGAGAGTGAGTTCAACAGGCGATGATAACATATGAATAATTGTTCTCAAATGAATAATATGTTGAAACATCAATTTTTTCCAACAAAACTCTTTTTTTGTGCAATAGTTTGATTAGGTTAATTATTGTATTTTATAAAGTGAATATATTTTATATTCATAAATATCTAAAATAAATGATAATCTCGACAAAGAACAAATCAGATGTCGATGTCAAAGAAATAAAACATATTGTAGAAAAATTACTAATTATTTGTGAATAAATAATGAAAAAGAAAATAAAATTGTATATTATCGAAAGTAAAGAGAGGCAAGTGAGAGTGTGAATTAGTATTCTATTCATTCTGGGTGTACACTTCTAGTTACGCTTACGCAGTGAAATTTATTTCAGTCAATATTATATATCTCACAAAACAATTGATACCATAGGTGACAAAGTAAAAAGGCAGCAAACACAAAAATAATCTACAAGAAGAAGAATGAAAAGTGTCTGGTAAAATTGACAAAATCTTGATTAGTTGATAGTTCTTCGAGAACGACATACCATTTTGAGAGTGTGGGTATGAATCTTATATCTATCACCCACACCCAGCTATTTATTTAGACGATGTCAAATCTTGAGAATGTGGGCATGGGTGTTGCTGAGTGGGCGTGACTATTGGTGGGTATGATTAGAAGATACCCGCACCTGTATCTACACTCATCATCATATTTGCAATAAGTTTGTTTTTATACGATATTCAAAAAGCTGACGAAGCAGCTTTAACAAACTAGATCATTGTTGTGTTAATCAAATCTATAAAAAAATTATTGTATCAGATTCGCATACTATGAGTTTGTTTCATACATAGCGAGAAATAACTCAATGTTTTTGCTTATTCATTGTTCTCATTCGACTATTTCTTTTTCATTAGTACCATAATACTAGATATAAAATTGAATATGTGGTTGTATGTCTATCAGTCTATCATATATGATTATTTTTTTATTTGTTATAATATTTAGTTTCACTTATTATACACTCATATGAATTTTGTAGATAAACGATCAATACCTACACCCACCGTCAAAAACACGTTTTTCGAAATTAAGCGATATTCCTTATGCGTCTTGAACATGAAAAGAGTTTTTTTATTTTTGAGGAGAATTGAGGAATGAGTGTAGACGTCGGTTTTATTCCGCTGATCCTCAATAGCGTTGCGTGTTGTGCTTAGTTACATCGTTATAGCTGAACAAAATTGTTTGTAGAAGCAAAAGTATTACACTACAGTGTGTTTGAGTTTCATGAGTAAACTTATGAGTCATTTCTGCCTGTACACACTTTGTATATACGAAGAACGCGCAAATTTATTCTTACTCTGTCATTATTTTTATATATATTCTACATAGGAGTGGGCAATAAAGCATATAATAACATCGTTATATCAATAAATACAACATATAATTATAAGTTGGTATAACGAATAGACAAGAAAATGATACCTGCTTGGTTTAAACGTGTTTTACATTTGCACCGACATAGTTTCAATTTGGAAAAACATCGAAAACAATTTCAACGTAATTATCAACGTTCAGTATTAGCGAACAACTATAACTCTGGTGTATCTTACGATCATAAATATGCATCAAGTACAAACGACTATTCTGCTGCTCATACAATGGATTCAAACTCTATAGATCATCATCAGCATCACAGTCACGATCATTATATTTATCATGATGTAGGAAATGCATGTAGTGATGATAATTAAGGTGATGGTGGTGGTAGTTACAGCGGTGATTATGACTTTATTTACATGAATGTTACCCTTTCCAAATTGTATAACTCGCCTAATTCTTTTAACTTTTGTAATTATCTATCTGTATATATAAAGAAGAACGTCTTTCTACTTGCTTTTTATGCATTCGATCTGTTCAAGAGCTCTTTTAGGGTGTGAGCGTCGATTCAGAGAGAGAAAACATCTACACCCACACCCTGAGCTAAAACTTTAAAATTAGAAATAAATATTTATTTTTATTCGTTATAATCAATAAATTCATGAAGAAAAAATTGTAAAATCAATCCATTTATTTATCCAAAAATCGTTGGATTTTCTTGCATAATTATAAATTTTTTATGTTCATATTTTTGCTGTAAATTTAATGTAAGTAATACCATTAAAATAATAAAAATAACTATTTCAAATAAATTAAAATATAATTTAATATTAACAAAATTTAATGGATTAATATTCACTACTATAATTGAACAACTCATTGCAAAAAATAATAATAACATTATCTTATGAATAATAGAAGTTGTTCCAGTAATATCAAGAAAACCTTTATTATATATTGAATAGAAAGCAATACTACATAAAGTAATATCACGAATAATACGTAATTGTTCCATACCAGTAATCATTGCAGTATAATCAGCTACACAAGAAAAATGACCTTCAAATGTTGGTTTTTCAATATCAATAATATCACAATAGGATTCTGTTATTGTTCTATTTAGATATGAACATTTCAATTGTACTCCGCTATAAATAGAACGTAAACCAGGAGAAACAATAAAGATAATTGTTACTGTTAAATAGATAGTTTGACGAAGCATAGTTCGAGAAACAGTTTGATAATGTAATTGATAGGATTGCTGAAATGTAAAACGTTTAAAATTTTGATAGGATAATTCAGTACCCATAAAAAGTGCAATACTTTTAACAATATATATAATAGTAGATTTTGTTTCACTATGATTCATACCACAAGTGACTACTGCTAATATGGAATTAATAATGCTAAAAGGTAGTATAAGATAAATTTCAATTGAAGTACCATAAATAGTTGCACCAGATGCATAAATAATTGAAGCAATATCTTTTAATGAATATGAAGAGAGAAAAAGAAAATTTAAAACTATCATTGATGGTTTCATTATATTGCTAAATGCAAGAAATTCTATGATAATAATATAAAGCCAAATGAATATAACAACTATCCGAGAGACTAGCAAATCATAAGATTGTGTATTTATATTCGTTTTTGTACAATATCGTCGATGAAAATCAGAAAAATAATGTCGTATAATAGACCAATTACTTTCATTTTGCTTTGGTTGAGGATGAACGGTTTGTTTTTTAGTAGGACATGAAATTAAAGTAAAAATTTTGCATAATCTATTCTATAAAATGAAATATTAAACAATAATGATGAAAAATGATCAGTATACTATCATACCTCACAAATCGATTTTAACATTTGTTCTCAATATGAGACGTTTAAAAATACTGCGGGAAAACTAAATGGCAAAGAAATATTTTCTAGTTAGATATTTATCGAGTCAATAAAATAAATGTTTGCTGAACGGCTCGTGATAAATTATAATCGATTAAAAATGCATTAGATAAAGAATAATTTGGTATATTATGAATAGAGAATTGATATGTTATACCAGGGTTTGGGTGTGTGAGGAAAAAAACCGAAGACCACACCCACCCTCAAGATGAACCTAAAGACTTTAATTTCAAAAGATATTATTAACATTCGTTTAATTTTTTTTGTCTGCCTATGACACATGTGGGTTGATTTACAACCAATATAACTTAAAGATAAGAATTCTTTTTTTCTCTGTATATTTGTCTGTATCATAATAATAAAACTGATATAAATGTACTATTAAATCGAAACTTGTTTTTACGCACTTCGATAGGAAGTATTTTTTGCAACGAGAAAGGATATCTCATTTTATTCTAAATGGCTTTGGACATCAAATGTTTAAATGTCACTCTTTCATTACCAATTATACCGAATAACAATAATATGACTAGTATTCCTAGTCATTCTTATTATAATTCGAATGGAAAAACAATCTCTCAATTGATTTCATCATCATTGGCTCGTTCGACTTTTTCTATAGATGATGTTCGATCATTACTGAAAATGATCACATCAAATAATACTAAATCGTTGGATGCTTCCACTATTGTTAACTTGAAACCTATCACGTCTACGATTATTTATACAAGTGTAACTTTGGTATTATTTATCATACTTTCATTATTATTCTATATCATTTCATGTAGCAGTTGTTCGAAGAAAAAATTAAATAAAAAAAGAACATGTACTGGAAAGTGTGTATGTACAGTATTGATATTATTAATTGGTTTGATTGTTATTGGTCAAACAATTTATATTGTCTATCAAATCAGCAGAACAACAAACTATCTCGATGATTCAATTAAAGAAACAAATCAAGAAATTTATCCAAAAGAAATTTCTCTATACTTAGAACATCTTCTTCGACAAATGAAGCTACTCGATCAATATATGACTCAGAGTAAACATTTTTATTATTATATACATGATTTGTAATGAAAAAATACTTTTTTTTATTTTTAGCTGATTCTATCGTAATCGAAGCTTCGAGATCGATGCTTGTTAAATCATTTAATGAAATTTTTTCAAAACAATACTCTCTGGATATAATCCGACAGTCGGTGGATGAAAGTGATGTACATATTAAAGAATTGAATGAACTCATTAATCAAGAAATAAATTTATTACCGGGAACGATCGATGTATTTGCAGAAATACAAAATCAACATCGAGAAATGATTGAATATTTAGAAATACCATTACAAGAATTATGCGATTATGCTGATGGTAGTGAAATAGAAATTGATAAGACAATTTTACATGCATTACATCTTATTCATGAACAATTAGAAAAAATAATTGAAAAAATTGAAAATGATTTTCTTAGTTTTTTGAATCCATGGCAAAATGCAATGTTAATGAGTGAGAGTTTAGAAGAACAAATTCGATGGTATGTTCGTCTGGTGAAAACAATTACCATCGTTTTGGTTCTTACTTTTGGTCTTAGTCCAATCATTTTTTTTGTTATCGTCATCGTATGTTGTCGAAATCGTTGTCATCGAAAACATCCATTACCGAAGCATCGGTTAGTCAAGATTTATCTATTCATTTCTAATTAAAGTATTTTTAGCATGAATAATGAAAAAGAAAACAGTCGAACTACAGAAGTATTGATAAACGTATCATCGTCGAAAGATTCCTCCAATGCTGTTCGCTGTTGGATGCGAATATTTTTCTTTCCATTGATGTGCATATTGATTGTAATAATTCTTCTTACGAGTATTTTATATACTGTAGATCTTTTTGCTCAAAGCACTTGCCGAACAGTTCACGATGATCAATCATTTCTGATTTCGTTTCTCATTGGTAAAAATACTTTTGTTAGTATCAATCATTTATCTTTGTATATATATATTCTGAAATTAGATGAATTACTTGGACCAAATAAAAATGAATTGATTGTTGGTGGATTTGATGTAGAAACAATATTCAGAACGATTATAGACGATTGTGGAAATCAAATACATTTTAGTGAACATTTTTTTGGTAATCAATTAAATCCTTTGCAAACTGATGTTGATCAAGCAATGAATGAGTTAAATAAGAAAATCGATGATAAATTCAATGCTTCGATTACCGCTATTAGTATTACATCAGATCTTGAACGTCTTGACCAGTTCTCTATGATAATTAACTCAACCGAAATTCAAAATAAAATACAAGAAATACGCAATGATTTGCAAGTAATAGAAATAGAATTCAAAAAGATCTCAAGTTCTATTCCAATAGTACCAGAAAATATTATTAATCAAACGATCAATGACGTTAGTATTGAAAAAAAAAGATTGAATGAATACATTATTTGTTTTCTTTTAGTTCGAAACGTATGTGAAAATAATTCTGAGAACGACAACCGATACTTGTCCTCTACCATTAGCTATACTATACAAGGCAGACACATTTATATGCCATCAATTTGCTACATCTATTAATGGTCTTTGGTTCAGTCTTTTCATCTATCTATTTTTCGTTATAGTTGGCCTCTGTATATTTGGTCTTTGTATTTACAAACGATTATAATTGTTTGTTTTTTTGTATTTTTAACTAACTAATTATTTTTGTTTGCATATCAAAAAACTAGAATGTGATCACAGGATTACACTTTGATTAATGAATTATGATTTACGTCTAATTAGAGGTAAATTTTCACCATGAAAATATTTTATACGATGTTTTGGTGATTGATCTGGACAATTAGTTTGTTTACGACATGGAATAAGATAGTCAGGTAGATTTGTATGACGATAAGTTGCACGATGAATAGGATCATGTTTTTCTAAACAATTTTTATCTTGTGCACATTTAAGTGCATTATGACGTTCATGTGTAAGATAAGGTTCCTTGGCTTTTCTTATACATAATTCAGAGTAACCACAAGGATGAGAATATTGTTTCTTATGCTTTGATGAGTGTTGTTGTACACAATATATAGAATCTTTACAAGGTTTCAATGTAGGAAGAGCATTATCCGATAGTGATGCTGGTTCAATTGCATTCGAATGACGACACAAAAATATGTTTGTTACTCTATCTAACACACTCGGGCCATTCAATTGTGATGGTCGAATAACCTGCATCGGTCGCCCTCCTCCTGTTCCATTATTATTGAGAGCATTCTGATCGACATATGAAGGTGTAACAAGATATTTTTCAAGTAGATTCGATGTATCTTTTTTGAAATTCATGTCGACTGATGGATGTAATTCAGGTATTGATTCAAAATTAATTGTTAGATTTCGTACAGGAACATCTTGAGATCCAGCACTAAGATGAATAAATTCTAATTTCGATAGATCGAATTCAGATGTATTGAATTGACATTCAATCTTTTCATGATTATAAATACTATTTGGTCCAGCATGAGAAAGTGTTACTTGACCTGTCATATGACTTATTTTTAAACAAAAGGTGAAGTAATCATCAGTATTACAACCTCGATAGAATGTATTTGATTTAGCTTTAAATCGATTTGTCGTGACATTATTACCATGTTGAAATGGTAAACCATCATTCAAATACGAAAATGCTTCACGGTATTCTTCAGTCACTGTTGATGGTTTTTCTGCAATATAACAAACAACACATCGAAGATCGAATTGTTGTTCACCTGGAATAAGTTTTTCATTGGCCACTGTTAACATCATATTCCCATCCATTGCTTGCCAATAAATATAAGTGAACTCAAGGCCACGTTGTGATTGAGGCTTGCCAAGATTATATAAATAATACGCTTGAGAAATAGTAGTTGGTAATACAACATGTTCTTCAAATTCGGAAGCCGCAACTGTAATTACTATACCATGCGAGATATTTGGCTTGTTCATTCGATCTCTGATAGCGTCACAAAGTTGTTCAAACACATATTTTGGATATGGAAGCTCGAGAATCTGTTGTAATGTGGCGCCTTTTTTGATCTCATCACTTTCATAGATGCTAATCATAAGCGAATCTTTAAAAGCTCCTTTAGCTGATTGTTGAGCTTCAGGTGAAAGGGATTCAAAGACATTTTTTGGTATGTAAACACGATCAATATAATCTAATGGAATTAGTTGTGGCAAATGTGCTTCGAATGTCTCATGAGAATCCACACTTGTCCATCGCTTAAGAATAGCTTCAATATTGACATTCATTGATTCGCGATCTGCACCTGTTAGAGCGACTAATTCTGAAGCCGCTGCATATTCATAACCATGAATAGAGCAATGCAGTTTTGAGCTATGAAAATGTTCTGTTCGTTTACCATCAGTTCCTGGATCTTTCGTCCATGGCCTATGTGAATAAGTGTACTTGCTATGAAATTTAGTTCCAGCCTGAATAGAAAAGTTGGCATCCGGATGAAACATAATTTCTTGCTTAAAAGTGATAACAATATCACCATAATAATGACCAAGATGCGGTCCGAGTATAGAAAATACATGTTGATCTGTTCCTAGAATTTGATCTACATCGTATTGGATTCCAGTGGGATTAGCATTTAATTTAATCGATGCTTGAGCAATTTTAACTGACCATTCATGAATAACCTGAATATCTCTTGGATTAAGAGGTGGCTGTAGTTTTTGCTCGATCCGCTGAACTTTATAGCCATAGTCTGAATCTAATAAAGTTTTTCCATCTGATTTTGCTTTTATAAATTCAGCTTCGACCAATATTTCAATCAGTTTACATACATTCTCTTTGACATTTGGCGTATTATGATGAAGGAATATTAGACGTACTCGACTATGTTGTTGAACAGCTCTGACCACATGTTCTGGTTTTGTTAATAAATCCATAAAACGACGACTCATAACATGTCCTAGTACAAGAATTGATTCAAAAATATCTTTTC